GATGTAAGAGCTCTGCCTCCTTCGACAAGGACTGGCCTAGATTCTTTGAAAATGGTGGGCAGATGGATCTCACGGTCAAGAGCTTAAGGGCGTTCAAGCTTTCCCGCTGAATTCTCCCAGCAATCTCCCATTTCCTGACCGACATCATTCACATCCCTGCAGAAGCCCTCGAATCTTGCCACCCAGCGGCCATCGTAGGAAGAGGAAGAACGTGCCACAATTTAATACATTCTGATAGAGGAAGACCTGACCAAGATGCGAGAGTTGAGTTTAGGCAGCTGCCTTGCATGTGGTGTGGTGGCTGTTTTGGGGTTGCTTTGCCCTTGAAGCCGTAATCTTGGAGGATGGATTTTGGTAGTGTAGAGCCAGGGCTGATGATTGTTTTGGGCCAAAGGACTGGTCCAAGTGCACCGGATCCTTCTTGCAGAAAGCACAAAGTTTGTGACATGCCCGCTTGCGCTGGCGCATAACAAGTAACGCTAACAAAACAAAACGATCAACAATACAAGGAGGACAGGGTCGTGTAGCGTGTCAAGGTGTTTCGACGCAAGTAGGCAGCTTCGACTATAAACTTATTTTGTTTCACGAACAATGGGGAAGAAGCCCCGAACAGTGACACCCGTCCAACCGGAAGGCCTCCATTTTGCCGAAACAGGCTGCTGCCTTAGTGCGGCGTAACTTCGGGCATTGCATGGCATTGTCTGGGCATTCTGAGTGGAGTATGACTCCCTGGAAATGCTTCTGCGGGGTGTGCTATCTTCCAAGTGCACGTTGAAAAGCAAGCACTGCTTGCAGACCACGCCAAGCTGAAGCTCCTGTGAAGAGAATGTACGAGGAACGGCCTCCGATTAAGGCTGTTGAAGCTGTTTCAGGTCGCGTGGCGGCTTGTCTACATCAATGGTTAAATCTGTACTGCTGTCAACCGAATTCCCTGCCCTTCAGTCTTAGAGCCTCATCAGGCTGACAACTGTCCTGCAGAGCAACATTCTTCCCCGCCACGAGTCTTCTTATCAGGTTGCGACACCTGATCAGCACCACCTCCAACTCACTCCGAGAGAGTTTGGGCACCAGAACTCGGCTTCCAGGACCATTGGAACTTCAACACGGCGAGTCGATTCGCAAGCCGAAGCCCAGACGTCGCTTCAACAACGCTGCGGTGAGTCTGGCAGAATGCCTCCCCAGAGTTTCCCCGACGTGTGCACACGTGTGCACACGTGCGCACACATACACGTATGACCGCGCGGGCATTGACGGGTAGAGCCCGAGCTCTGCCAGTCGCTCTGCCAGCGTATCCCATAAGCAATGCACAACTTAAAAACAAAAACGGAACACACTCCTCGAATACACCATGTGCCCGAGCCCAGTACCATTGAAAGCTTGGCTGTTGAACACAGTCAAAGATCCGTCAAGCATCTCAAAGCAGTTCAACAATTGCTGAGTCTCACTACTGAGTCTCACACCGCTTCGAGCCACTTTCCTGGGTTTAAGTGCTGGGCTAAGGCTCAGATCCGTTTAGCCTCTGACTTCGTACAACTTACCACAAGTGGCTCCGGTTGCAAAAGAAGAATTGCATCAGTATTTGCCCAGCCAATACTCATGGCAATAAACACTTTGGTTGTTTTGCACGCGCCTCGCACGTCCTAAGGAACAATGATTGGGCAGTTGAGGTATCCACTAAGCTGTGCTGGTATAGAAGAAAGAAAGCAAGGAAAGGCTGCAAGCAGTCCAACCCTTGACTCGCCGCATCCTGTCCGTACTCATGCGACGAGGCTCGCACTGTAGAGCGAGCAGCCAATCTAGCCGCCTCCTCCCTTTCCAGCTTTTTCTTGCTGCCTTGGAGGGCTCTTGCTTGCTCCCTGAAGAGAGGGTGCTGGTGCTGGTAAGGTCTTGTTTCGGGCAGGCTGGAAGAGGTGCATTTTTGCTTACCGGCTGATTTGCGGGCCGAAGAGTTCTAGGATTGCACACAGACGGGAACCTTTACAAAGCTTCTTAGAGAGGGGGAATTCCCGTAAGGTCCCACAACTCGCCTCCTCGATGCTCAGTCCCCACAAAATTGGCTTGGCTTAGGGGGGGGGGGGGCTGGAGGTTTCGCCTGGGTTTCGGGCTTTCGGGTTTGGGGTGTTGTCCAGGCCCCAGGAAGTGTGGCGAGAATGGCTTTGGAAACTTCTTCGGCGCAGTCAAGAGAGACCCGGCACCATCTAGACTGCCCCCCCCTCACGCTTAAACATCCTTTCGTTCTCTTTGAAAAACACCAGGCTGATCCGATTGCTATGCCAAGCAACCGAACCGCACCATGGCACGGAAGGCTGCGCGCGTCGATGGTTCAGTGAACTCGGAAGCTCGTGCACAGAGCAAGGATACGAGCTGTCGGCGCTGGCGAAGGCTTTACGGAAGCTCACGAGAAGCAGGTATTCAGAGGTTCGATGACACCCACGATGCACTTCCACAGCCCAAAGAACTCATCCTCTGCGGCTCTTTTGGGCCATCCTACACACATGTACCAAGTCCAGAAAGCCAGGGAGCCTCCGAAGGAACTTTGCTTCGTTCAACATGCAAGCGTGATGCTCAAGGAGGGAGCTAGATCCCCACGAAAACCTATCATCTTTAGGCTCTACTTGGACGGGGCTTCATCGATGCGATGCTCTGAGACTTGTACCTAACCCACACGAAGTGCAGCTATCAGAAACAATTCCATGTCCAACAACAACTTGGGCCGAAAGCCGCAGAAGCAGACTATGGCCTCGTGCTTGGAAATTGTTTTGGCTTTGGGGTTCAAAGAACTTCTTGTGGGATTTGGTCGTGAACTTCTACATACTTCTTCATGGGCAGGAGTGTTCGGGAACAGGGGCCCCCTGCAAACTAAGAGATACTCGTGGGTGCATTGCGATTGAATTGTAAAGGAACCTTCGCCGGGCTCATACCGAGGAAGGTGAGAGAGCCAAAGTTCGACTTTAAAAACGGGGACGTCTTCCGCCCCCAACTCCTAATCCTAGCAGTAGGCCTTGCTCTCGTTGCTTCAAGGCTTCCTGTGTACTCATCCGTGGACCGCTCCACTAGATAAACATGTGATTTGACAAAACCTTCACCCGCACTGCTTCTCCAGCCCCGCCACTAAACAAGACCGAAAAAGCTGGGCACACTTCTTTTGCATGGGTGCTTGGAAATTGTGAATGGGTGTTGAGGACCGAATGCCTGAAGCAGTGCATGCACATTACGGTCTTGGCATGATAGTTGTTCGGTCTCCTTTTCCTCTTGGGTTTGCACGCTGTTTCCTACCGGTGCTGATCAGGGGTTTAGGCATGTTTAGGCAGCGTGGATTTTGTGGGTTCAGAACCATTCCTGGCAGATCCGTATAGATACGGACCGACTGAGTCCGGAGTCGAATGATTACAACTTGCCAGCCTTGCTCGAGGATGCCTGCTGCTGCTTCCATGACCTGAAAATAGTGTGGCAGCATTCAGATCTGGACTCTCTCGGCGTGAAGCCTAGGCATGAGTAAGCTTAAGGCAACTGAAAATCACACTCAAAAACTCAAAAACCCAAACATTGGCGCTGTATCGACACACTGGGAGCACGGCCGCCACATGGCATTCTCGAGGCGGCGAGCATCAAGCTCCTAATTTAAAGTCCACGTGCGTCAACACGGCAGTGCCCTACACACTACAGATCCTTGGGCACAATAGGTCTTAGCGTGGTTTGGGGCCTGCGCGCAGGCGAAATGAAGCTAGGGATGAAGCATGTTTGTTCCTCATGAACGGCTCAAGTGGCTCCCACATCGGTTAGCTGTAGGGTCGGGGTGATCGAAGTACATACATACAATTACATATACCTTCTTTTCTCGCTTTCCCGCACTGTTCGCGCGATGCAACGATTTGAAAAAACAAGAGCGAGAGAGAGAGAGAGAGAGAGAGAGCGAGAGAGAGAGAGAGAGAGAGAGAGAAAGAGACAGAGAGAGAGAGAGGGAGAGAGAGAGAGAGGGAGGGAGAGAGAGAGAGAGAGAGAGAGCGAGAGAGCGCGAGCTTTTAGAGAGCAAGAGTGCGAAAGGGAGCGACAGCCACGGTGTAAAGACAACAGCCAAGGAAGCCGACTTTAGGAGGAGCCCGATGAACAGCAGGGGCCTCAGCAGTTAATAAGCGCGTGGTCGATACTGAAGTTCCCCTTCTGATGCCTACACAACAGCATAGACTCAAAAGAGGGAAGGTGTGAGTGAGAGATAGGCTGCTGCTGAAACACAGCCTTCAGCCATGAGAAAGCGCCAAGTCGCCCAGCCCCAGCCCATGCGTCCTGATCGACTTCGAGGCTGGCCATCTCCAAGCGTCCGAAAACCTGAAAGAATCGCGGGCTTAGGCGGCTTAGGGCCCCAACTGAGCAAAGAAATGCCCAAAACCCTTTGGCCCCAACTTGAGAACTCAAAAATGTTTCACGGAAGACATCGTCGAGTCTAAGAAGTGCAAACTACCGCGTCCCCCCTGCGGCAGACAAGTCGCGTGTGGTCGACGCCACGTGTGGTCGACGCTGCTGGACTCTCTTCTATTGACAACAGAAAATGCGAGCTGGTCCCGTCTGCATGTGCCCAAATCATGTGCCATGAGCTCATCTTCGGCACACCTCATGTTGCCTTCTTCGTGTGAGTGCTGCCTTTGTCGGCGAAGCTGAGGGCCACTTGGCTGCAAAATGCTGCAAAATACCGCACGGCACGCATCTGCAGGTGATGGCTCCGATTCCTTCGGTTCATTCTAGCGATATAGCGGCTGCAAAAACCCGGCACAAACGGTAGACTGAGAAGGCGAACACCGAATGTTACGCTACAGCTGCCAGACTCCTCGAACACCACCATCAGCGCAAAATTCACAAAGCCTGCATTCTACTAAGCCTGCGGGTCGCTCTTGAGTCGTTAGCGTTGTGAAGGTGTTAAAGGTAGCTTAAAGCGACTACCTTATAAAGCGATTAGTGGTTTGTGCTTACAGCGTTGGCTTCAAACGTTCCCGGCAGGGGCGGACTCCAGGGCAATGTACGAGGCGCCAATGACCAGCGTCTTGCCAGGCGCCTCTGCCACCGAGCTCGGGAGTTTGGGCCGGGGATTCCGCAGTCGTCAAACGGTACCGCGCCGAGACACTGCCAAAACAACTCCCAAACTAAGGAGAGCTGGGTCCAGTACAGACTTCAATACAGACTTCAAAGCCGTAGGCTCTTAAACCTTAAGGGTCTAACTACTTGCCCTACGACCCCAACTGCCTCGAACCTGAAAACCTTGAAGTCTGCAACCCTAAACCCGAACCCGAAAGCCGAAATCCGACAACAGACCGAAAAAATCCTAAACTATAGAAAACAACGTTCAAGGCCAACATTTTGAGATGTCAAGCACACACTTAATCTTGGCGCCGGGGGGGTCGGAGAAGGGGGGGAGGGGACGGGGGAAGTGCTTTTGGTGGGGAAACCTGAAATTTGTCTCTGACCTCTTTTGCAACAGAGCGAACCGAACATGTAAAAGCAGGGGCGGGGGAGCCTGATCTGCAAACCCAATGCCGATACGCCGGGCTTGGGAAGGATTCACATGGGCTTTGCAGCAATTCTCTTACGCCGCTGCACCGTGAGGACGACCCTAACCCTATAAACCCTAAACCCACAACCCCCATACGCCTTTTCCGTATACCTTACACGCCTGCCTAAGCCGCTCCCCAAACCCTAAAACCCTAAGAGTGAAGGAGCGGAGCAAACGAACCAAGGCTGTGGGGTCGATTTAGCGTGTTGTTTTTTCTTCGTGGCGTGGTGTTCTTCAAGGGGCGCCGGGCGATTCGGGATAACATGGTTCAGAAAAAAATGACAGCATTTCAGCAAACAACAGCAGCCAATTCAGGCAAACAGGACACAACTATTCAGGCAAACGGCCTGACCTGAATCTGGTGACCAAGGAAGCCTGAACCCGAAACCCTGAACCCTAAACCCCAAAGCCTAAACCCGAAACCATAACCCCAAACCCCGAACTCCCGAACCCTACCTCCCAACCTCATCAAACCTAAACCCTAAACCCCAAACCCTAAACCTAAACCCGAACCCCCACATCCTGAACCCTACCTAACCTCACCGGAACCCTACCTCACCAAACCTAAACCCTAAACCCCAAACCCCAAATCCCGAACCCTACCTAACCTCACCTGAACCCATCCCAACCCAACCTAACCTAACCTGACCTGACCCAACTAACCCAAACCAACCAATCCCACCCAACCCCACATCCCGAACTAACCTAACCTGACCACCCGAAACCCTAAATTTACACCTCAGCGCAACCTAACCAACCCTAAACCCGAAACCCGAAACCCTAGACCCTCCCCAAAGCCTAAACCCAAAACATCCCAGAACCCTAAAACCCAAATCTCGAACCCTACCAAACCTCACCCAAACCCAACCGGCCAGACCCTGAACCTTAAACCCTAAACTGCCCTAAACCCCAAAGCCCGAACCCTACCTAGCCCTAACCCAACCTAACCTAACCCAACCTAACCTGACACATCCTCCCCCAAACCAACCAACCCCACCCAACCCCAAATCCCAACCCTAAACCCTGAACCCCAAATCCCGACCCTACCTAACCTCACCTAAACCCAACCTAACCTAACCTAACATAGGGGGGGGGGGGGGGGGGGGCTCAGGCCCCCTCACCTTGCAAAACCAATGCTCGAAGGACCGCTTTGCAAAGAATAGATGGGTTTTGACGCGGTTCTGCTTGGCGGATGCTCATTAAAGAAAGCTTGCAAGCTTGAAAAAAGCGGGGGGGGGGGGGTGGTGTCAGAGAAGGGGTTCCCACGACCACCATTTGCAAGCACAATGTTTGCAAGACGGGTTTTGAAAGGATTCATATGTGTCTCGAGGCAGTTCCTCCTGACTCTCGATGGCATCATGTGCTTTCACGCCAGCTAGCGAGGCCGAGCGGGTGTTGGAAGGGGTGGGGTTCCTACGTTTGGCCACCTCACTCGCTCACCTGCTCAGCCCCTATAGGTGGGTATGGGGTGCGTGCGTCTTCTCCGCCTTGCTTTGCTTCCTTCGGGTGTTGGGGCGCGTTGTTTGCGCCTTCGGGCATGGGCCAGCTCACTCACTCAGCTGCACGCCATGCTGCGCGTCAGGGGCGGGGGCGGTTTTCTCTTTCTGCTTTCGCTGCGGGCGCCGAAATCGCACAACAGCAAAAATAAGAGAGCACAAGTTCTTGGGTGTCGCGACCAGAAACCGATTCCTAACCTTTTCGGGTCTATTGCTGCCACAAGCGAGCTCCTCCTGCCCCAGAACACCCTCTGCTAAGAATCCCAAACTCACCGAAAACTACAGACCCTCGGCATGTTCCAGGCCTTCTTGGTCCAGAAGATGTCGTCCGAGCTGATGCAGCACTCCTGCCAATGTAGCCGTGGCTTCTTGGCAGTAATCATCCCCCTTGCACGGACCACATTTCGACCAACTGGGGTCCCAACCTTCACACCTGGCACGTCTCCGTATGTTGGGCGGCCACCGCATGCTATGAGGATGTACTTGGCAGAGACCTGCGCCGGGCTTGGGCGTTCTGCGCCTGCTTATGACTGATTACAGCGGATCCTGCTGCACTCGCGAGAAAAGAGTCCCACACAAACAAAAGGTCCGACAAGGCCCTCCCTCGGAGCCTCCTCTTTCTTCCCCTTGCCATTGTCCAAGGAGATGGTGTGCGCATCCTTGAAGGTTGCGAAGGAGTTGTAGTACCTGGCTAGGGAGGGCACATAGCGAGTACTGACGGCGTTATCAGCATGACGTTAGGGAGATCGTTGCGGTCATCGTCATCATCATCGTCGTCGTCCTTGTCGTCGTCGTCGTCGACGACGACGACGACCGGCGCACATTCTGGGGACTGGGGGGGGGCGAACGCTAGTAGCATGGAGGCGGCACACAGCAGCGACAGCCTCAGCCTCAGCCACAGCAACATCCACAATGGTCTCAGCCACCAGAACAGCGAGAACGGCAGCGGCCACGACCAGCAACCCGCGGACGATGAGACGAGGAGAACGACACAGCAATGACCGAACAATAAACTTTTTAAACTTCGTTGAACTCAGACCTGCACGAACCCACGCGGTGGGGCACTTGATGTTCTTGGAACGCAGGTCCGTCTTGGAACCCCAGTTCAGGGACTTGATGTAGTCATTGACCTGCAGAGCGGGCAACTATACCGTGTCGACTTGGGGTCATGGCAGTAGCCAAGTCCTCAGTAAACACCAGCCCTTCAGCCATACTACCCAGAAGCCCCTCAGCTTCACAGCCAAGGCGCCCCTGCAACGCGGAAACCTCGAAACCCTCGAAACCCTGCATTCCCCCCAAAGCCCTGCGTTTCCAAAGCCCTCGACGATCCTCACGCAAGAGGCCTGGAAGCCCCAAGGACCAGGCACCGGGCGTCCCAAATGCTGAAACGAGCTGGACAATCTGAAACCAAAAGCCGACAACCCCTGGCAACCCTAAAGCATCCTAAAAACTGGAGCCTGGTTCACCATGGCAGACCAACCTCGGACCCAACAGGTCTCAAGACTCAGAACGAGGAAGGCCTAAGGTGCAACACGTGCAAAAGAGTCCTTGCGAGCTTCAGGCTTAAAGGATCATGCCCAGAAATCTTCGAAAGCTTGATTAAACCTTCTGCAGGGCGTTCATTGTTTTAGCAGACGGGTTACTCGCTCCCTCCACTGCGACGCACAATGACAGTAAGCCATGCATGTTGCTCTTCAGCACCTTTGCTTCACGATTCGGCGTCGGAACACATGGCAAGCAAGGGCCAGCAAGGGCTGGGGCATGATGTGTGGAGCAACGGCTTGTCCGGTTGTGCGGGATTCCATGCTTGAGTGTTGAACCGCAGTCTGACATGAACATGGAACTGCTGGTGCCCCGCTCATTCTGTCTACAGTTGGCCCCGAAAAAGTTCAGATCATCGTTGTCTGCGGTGGGCGTGTTCGCTCAAGTGCTCTCGCGCTTCTCGACCTAGTAGTACCATGGAAATGAAGCTCGTAGGTCCCCTGAAAACCGCGTCATGAGGGGGGGACGCCTCCATTCACCTATCAGTCTCTTACTCTCTTTGTTCTTCTCTGTCTCCTTCTCCTTACCTATCCAAAATCAATGTTTTTGTTGTGGGTCACTTCCCAAGTTTGTTCTTTGGGCCAAGCAATTCAGGATTCTATGTCGGCTGCGATGTTTCAAATATTCAATAAATCATGATGGCCCCTTCAGCTTTCCTTTCTTTAGTGTTGTTCGGCGACATGTATTCTTCAAACCAGCGTGGCGACTGTGGCCCCCATGACATTGTGTACTGGGGTCAACAAGTACTGAATGTCCACAGCGCTCAGCCCCAGACTGTGCGAAGACTTCGTTTCCCAGCCCATGCCATGCGCATCCGTCTGCCAAGGTTTAGGGAGTAGCGGGAAAGAATGGATCTAAGGCGGTCTGCAGTCTGAAGCTTTGGGACCTCAGCCCACAACTACAGGATAGACCGTGGCAAACTTGCTGGAATGAAACTGGACTGCTGCACGCGTGCTTCTCAGAATGGCTTGGCACAATCAAGGAACTGGTGCAACAAATCATGCCAAAAGCAGGCCCACCTGAGTTTCTCTGTACAGCGACGAGATGTGCATGAGCTTCTTCCTGGGGTTTCAGCACACCAGCCAAATCGCTGAAAGGCAGAGAAAGACTCGCCAAGCAGACTCCACGCAGTGACATCACGAAATCCGATGCAAATCGATTCAGACTGGTGTCTCGGAGTGCGTCTGACGCCCTGAACCCTGCAGCGATGACTACTGCACGGGTCCTAGCACTCCAACATATGCCGACCTTGCACGGCAAGCCTGCTGCTCAGAACGTCAATCCCTTCTGCCGAGGATCGGGATGCATCCCACATTGACGCAGGTGCCACCAAGTCCCTGCAAGTATTGAACCGTGCAGTTCTGCACATCTCTGCTTGCAGCCCCAACTTGATCATATTCACATCTGAATGCAAGCTTTGGCCAAGGGGGCAATTCGGGTGGTGAACAACTCTGCAAAGCCGTAAGCCATCGTAACGTTCTGGGCTTCCCCAGCACATCAATACTGGATGTTGAAAAAAAGCGGCAAGCAAGACTGGCTTAAGGGTGTTTGAGGCTTTGTGGCCATTGAGGCGTGTTCAGATTCTCCTTGTAGGTAGAGAAGCCTAGTTACATAGTAGGGCTGTCCGGGTTCGGTAGTATAGTGGGACAGTACGCCCAGAAGCTATCTTATTTGCCGTCTCGATTTGGCACAAGAAAAGTGGCTCGCAAAGCCTTGATATCCCATTCACAAGCGAACTCACTGGGTCCCACACCCAAGTGGTCCCTGCAGGTGACGGTTTCACGAAGTCGGCCACAGCGACCTCGCGCGATGTGGCTCTTCTTGCGCCTTTGGGTTCTGGAGTTTCGGGCTTGTGGCTCGGAAAATTTTGGGGCTGTTCGCCAAGCATCGTGGCCAATCAAGTTCGTCAGAGCAAAGCCAAGGTGCAGCGTAACGAACAACGCCCCACGAGGCCCTACGAGTTGTTTATTCTACGCACTCTGGCGCCTTGATCGCAAGAGGATTCTTGAAAAAATGGAGACGTACTGTACTGATGGTTACGAGCGTTGCGACTTTTGCTCAAGTAGCGTGAAACGGTTCTATTGCCGCGTACCTCTATCCAAAATGGAATCTGCATGCCACGTCTCCTGTCCTGTCCTGATCCAGAGTCTTTTCTTCAAGGGCTGAGGTATCTCGACTGCATTGTGGTACGGTTCAATACAACATGACACAACTTTATCAGCTGCTGCTGAAGGTGTCTGAGGGTTTGGTCCCAAACCATCGGATTAGCAGTGCCAGGTAAAGACGTTTATTCCCACACCTCTTTTTCCCCACCCCTCCTCCCCTTATCCCCCCCCCCCCCACAAAAGCGAAAATCTGAGATCCAAGAAAAAAGGTCTTTAAGCAAACACGCAGAGACTCCTACACTGAGCCCGTGTCGCCGTGCCTTGGCGCCCAGGTCGCCGGCTGCCTTCGCTGCGGCCAGGCCGCCGGATCCGCCGCCGATCACCTCGGTGCGGCGTCACTCTTTGGGGTTTAGGGTTGAGGGTTTGGGGTTTGGGGTTTAGGGTTTAGGGTTTGCTGTGATAGGGCGTAGATGCTGTGAAGGTTAGGTTTCGGAACAAGCTCGAAAGCTTCGTGAGGTGCGAAAAGCAGCATTGGCCCGATTGTGGAGGGCCATCTAACACTTTTCTCCCACCCCACGCCGTCCAATGCCACCCAAACCTATTCCTTTTAGGGGTTAGGCCTAAACTCAGACAACAGCCCACTTCTAAAAACTTAGGCAGTTTCAGGGAGGGTTGCAGCAAGTTTCAGAAGGGCGGGCTCGGCACCCAGTCAGGGAGCCGGCTGTGGGGGAAGTGGAGGGCACCGGGGCAAGGGGGGCCAGGAAGCCACACAAAGGCAGGGGGGGGCCAGGGGGGGGGCGGGCCAAGGGCTCAGAGAACGGGTCCGAAAAGGCCAGGACAGGGGGCCCGGGCGGGCCAGGGGCCCCCTTCTGTAGGGGGGCGGCCTAGGCCCTGAGTTTAGGGTTTAGGGTTTAGGGTTTAGGGTTTAGGGTTTAGGGTTTAGGGTTTAGGGTTTAGGGTTTAGGGTTTAGGGTTTAGGGTTTAGGGTTTAGGGTTTAGGTTTAGGGTTCTCTTTGCTTTGTCCCCTGGGTTCCAGGGCAGCTGGCAGAAGCCGCAGATGTAAAGGAGGTTTGCGAGATGGCTTCAAGGGTGCGAAGCTCAAGAAGGCTCCGCCGTTGGCTTCAGGTGCAGGATGAACATGGCTCCTGAAGTTTCACATTATGACGGCGGGTCGGCAAAAGCCCCCAGATACAGATCAGACGCCCGAGTGGTCTCAAAAACGTTGCAAGTAGCCTCCTAAACTGTCTTGTGGAAAAGCATCTGGAACAAGAGCTTTATGTCCGTTCTATCTATCATTTTGGTAGTATTCATTTACGAAATCTGTCTATCTCATTCCCTCCTTCAATATGTCTTTCTTTCGTTCTTTTCTCTCCTTCCTTCGTGCCTTCATTTCTGTATTTATGTAAATGTATTTTATCTATTGATGTATATGTTTCCTTTCTGTATTTCCTGGTTAGTGCATTCATTATTTCTGCATGTATATCATTCATTCGCATTTCTTTATATCTGTCTTGGTTTGTGTCTCTCCTTCATTCACTTATGCGTGTTGCATTTCACATCATACGCTTTCCTACACATGCAGATTCGGTACTTCTCACAAACACATGAACTTTGGAAGAACCGTCAGAGCAAGCTCCATGTGCAAGCGAGCTGCGAAAAGGTCAAAATCATACCTGGCAGCAGGTGTGTCAAGCCTCTAGGTGCTCTGGGGCTGTTGAACGCTACCGGCACCTCCCAACATCCAGATCCAAAGTACAAGCCGATGCAGATGGGACCCTTGGGTTGGGGCATCCATCAAAGTATGGGTGGAGCTGATGATTACCGCGGTTTGAGGCAAACTAAGACAGTCGTGCGGCTGCAGAGGTGAGACCCCTTGTCCAACTTGCCCAACTCCAAACCCCCCAGTGCCTGGAAACCCTCGCTGCCAATACCTGCAAAATATCTGCAAATACCTAGCTAATACCTAGCTACAACCCTAAAGAACCTGCTGAAAGCCGAGGCACTCGGCCATGGCCCCCCGCACAAGAGCCGGCCCCCCGGAAAGAAACGCTGCGGAAAGCACGCATGCATCTGTAGGCTTCTAAGGGAAAACTTAAAAAGGGAGCTCAGGTCAACAAAGCTGCAACCCCCTACAACCTGAAACCCTGAGCCTTGCAGCTTCACGCTTGGCAACACAGCCCAATCACAAACCTCATCCAACTATCATCCATCAAAAACTGCACTGATTACTGCTGATTATGCAATGCCGGTTAAACATTTGTGAATTTCCAGGCAGAAAATCCAAAGAGCTTGGAGAGTATGTGGACAGTCTTCATCAGGTTTTCAGCCTCATGAAGTCTCAGACCATCCCCCCCACGGCCCTACTTGGCAGTGGGCCTTCTTATGGAAGCAGGGTTGGGACGCAAAACTTTAGGGCCCTTCGGCCCATTGCCCTTTTCAAGAAGCAAGCCCAGCAGCCAGTATCCGAACCAATACCCAAACCGGCAACCCTTTGTCACTCATTCCCGCCTAAACTCTGAACATCTCTGAATCATAATATAATAAAGCCATCCTGCACGTTGTCATACGCAGGCTTCACCACCGCGATACTTTGTGCGCCTTCTTTGCCCTTGGCCAGCTGCGCTCGCGTTCGAGCAGCTAGTGAGAACCTTGGCAGCGACTGGCCTTCCAAACCCTGGCATAGTATGCCATACCTCTCGTGAACCTGGAAACTTGACCCTCAAGAGCCTTGATCGCAGGAGCCAAAACATACCACCACGTGCTTGCCGAACCCCCGCGCCCTACCTAAGGTCAAGGAGTGGGGGCCCTCACATCAGTGTACAAAGAAAGCCGTGGACTGAGGCTGTGTGGACTGCGGTACACCATGCCTCAACCTTGGCCTCGTCCCTCCCCAAGCGGAACGCCAGGCGAATGATCCCTATACTCCTTTCGGACTCCTTAAAAACCTTCAGGCGATGAATCGGCCGAAACGCTTGGCGGCGTCAGCGCTTTGGGCGCGGGGACCCCGAAAAGCTCTTCAAGCCTCCGCGGCTGTTTGTAAATGTTGTTAAGGGACGGACTGCTCTGAATCGTCCACACTGCTGACAGCCAGTCTCACCAGCAAGCTCGAGCAAGCACTCAGCATCACTCAGCGCAGGACTTCTTGAGTGTGGTCAAGGGGTTGGCATCGTCGATGCCTCAGGGCTCGATGTTCAAGGTTTAGCAACTAACACCTCTGACACCCCCCCCCAAGCCCTTTGCGTAACTGAGCCTGAGCCCCAACCCCCAATCGCAATCGAGCTCATGTCAATGACAGGATCTTGGTCCAGAGCCTGTCTTGGCCTTCCTAAGGCCTTCTGTGAGCAGATTCAGAGGATCTAGGACTGCAGGCTCACAAGGCGTGAGGAGAGGCTCTTTGTTCTTGTTTGCTCCTGGTTGCGACGTTTAACGGTTCTAACCATTTACAGCAACCGACAAGCAGGATGCTGCAGGCTCTGGCTCCGGAGCTTCAGAAAGTTCAGCCCAGGTGCTGTGACCTTTGGTCCTGGGGGCCAAAATACACAGTAGAACTTCAATGCAAGCCTATGCGTGCGCAATGATCAAAGAGGGCGGAGCGGTGCTGGATGAAAAGAGCTACGTAGGATTGAACGAGGCTGTCTGTACCTGCACATACCATTGACCAACACAAGAAGAATCCCTACCTGGTCTGACCCGTATGTCCCGCTCCTCGGGTGGGTGTAGATCTCGAAGTCGTTGCCACCCTCGAACCTGAGCACCGTACCACCTCTAGCGCCATCTTCCTCTTCTTCTTCTTCTTCTTCGATTATTATTCCTTCGCCTTCTTCTTCTATTTATTCCTTCGCCTTCTGTTTAAAACTACTACTCTTCGTTTCTTCTCAGCAGGCGGCTTGGGGCCGAAACTTTCGGGGGTTAGCACGGATAGCCGTATAGATGCTGGCCTGCCAGCAGCATCGTGATTCGATCACTTCTTGTTACAAACAAGCCCCAACCCTTTAGGCTACTCCTGCTGCTGCTCCTTCTCTTTCTACTCATCTGCCTTTCTCTCTCTTCTGTAGAAGAGAGCAGAGAGAGAGAGAGAGAGAGAGAGAGAGAGAGAGAGACTGAGACAGAGAAAGTGAAAGAGAAAGAGAAGACCGGATGTTGAACAGGTGCGTGATGGTCTCTGCAACTCATCCACGTCCAGCTTCTTTCTTTGGTCCCCAACCGTCCATGTGTCGAGCACCAAGGTGACACTTTGTGAAGTGCTGGTAGACTCGGTCAATTTGGCCGATCGGTCACTGTTGGTGCCCACTGTTTGGCCCCTGCCTAGTTGCAAGCTCTGGCTCTTGACGGGCAAGACGTTCGGCCTCGTACTCCTCGATGGTCCTGTTCAATCATTCCTCATCGAGGGCTCTGTCGGCCTCATCATGTTGTTTCCCTCCCTCTCCCTCCCTCTCCCTCCCTCTCCCTCCCTCTCCCTCCTCTCCTCCCTTTCCCTCCCTCTCCCTCCTCTCCCTCCCTCCTCCCTCCTCTCCCTCCCTCCCCTCCCTCTTCCGCTCCCTCTCCCACCCCTCTCCCTCCCCTCTTCCCTCCCTCTCCCTCCCTCTCCTTCCCTCCCTCTCCCTCCTCTCCCTCCCTCTCCCTCCCTCTCCCTCCCGTCCCTCCCCTCTCCCTCCTCTCCCTCCCTCTCCCTCTCCTCCCTCCCCTCCCTCTCCCTCCCTCCCTCTCCTCTCCCTCCCTCTCCCTCCCCTCTCCTCCCTCTCCTCTCCCTCCTCTCCCTCCCTCTCCTCCCTCTCCCTCCCTCTCCCTCCCCTCTCCCTTCTCCCTCCCTCTCCCCTCCCTCTCCCCTCCCTCTCCCTCCCTCTCCCTCCCTCTCCCTCTCCCTCCTCTCCTCCCTCCTCCCTCCCTCTCTCCTCCCTCTCCCTCCCTCTCACTCACCTCTCCCTCCCTCTCCCTCCCTCTCCCTCTCCCTCCTCCCCTCTCCCTCCTCCCCTCCCTCTCCCTCCCTCTCCCTCCGCCCCTCCCTCCCTCTCCTCTCCTCCTCTCCCTCTCCCTCCCTCTCCTCCCTCTCCTCCTCTCCTCCCTCTCCTCTCCCTCCCTCCCTCTCCGCCCTCTCTCCCTTCCCTCCCTCTCTCCCGCCCTCTCCCTCCTCCCTCTCCCCTCCCTCTCCCTCCCTCTCCCTCCCTCTCCCTCCCTCCCCCTGCTCCCTCCCTCTCCCTCCCTCTCCCTCCCTCTCCCTCCCTCCCCTGCTCCCTCCCCCTCCCTCTCCCTCCCTCTCCCTCCCTCTCCCTCCCTCTCCCTCCCTCCCTGCTTCCCAGGCGCGTCTTGTCACCGAAGAAATGAATCTCATCGAAGTCTGCCTCTGGCAGGTAGCGCAGGCAGTAGGTTTTGTCCCACCCAGTCCTCAGGCGTGACAGGCAAAACGCCTGTGTCCAAAAAACTGGGGGATTCGCAGGTCCTCTCGCAACAAATCCTTGCGGCCTAAGCGTGGTAGGATCAGACTGGCTGCTGGCAAGGGCAGTGGGACACATGCGCTGCCATCCAACGGTCCAGCGTAAGTAACACACACACACACACTCACTCTCTCTCTCTCTCTCTCTCTCTCTCTCTCTCTCTCTCTCTCTCTCTCTCTCTCTCCGCATCACTGGAACACACATCACACTATGAGACTCTCATTGTAGTTCTGCTCGCCAAAACAAGCACCCCTGAACTGAAAACACCGCACAGTCCGAAATCCTGCATCATCCTCAAGCCAGCCACCTCACCCCAGGAATTCTAGGGAAAAAAGTCTCAGCAAATCGCCGTCACCCCCCACCCCCCACCCCCCACCCGACCCCCCTCGTACATATCACGAAGCTTCTTTGAGGTCCTATACTTCCAGAACCCAATCCGACATCTGAAGGCAGCCAGACAATTTTTCCAAGCGCCACCAGGCTGCGGGAAGACATCGAAAGAGATCTGCCCACCTGTCGGCCACGTTGGTTCGATGGGTTCGGGGTTCTAGCGCGATTGGTTTCACATCTTGCCCTCACGGGCACGCTGGCTCAACATGATGCGGCATCGTAGTATCCAGCCAGAAAGCATGCCTTTTCAAAACTGCCAGCTAAGTTTAACATAAGGGGGGCGCGGTGGAGTAGTACGAGCATCTACAAGCATTATGCTCGAAGAGCTTCTCAATCACCCCAGAAGGGCCTATGGAGTAGGTCATGTTGTAGTCGGCAAACTCCTCCTTCATCTTGGCCACCATTGTCTCGGGGCAGGCAACGATAGCGAAGCCCCATCCCTACGCAGGAGACCCTGCGGTTGGCATTCGTCATGTAACTGAATGTAACTGACCGTCTGACTCCGCCTTTCGGATGTTGTTTGCCAAGTCGAACTTCTCAAACTCGTTTCCTGAGACTGACACGCACACAGGTCCAAATGTAATCTGCCTGGCATTCGTCTCACTAACCCTAGTAAGCCCCCCCAAACTTCTCGAAAGCAGAGGGAATGTTCGAGGCGGCAGACGCTCTTCTCGGCTGCAGTTGCGGCCAATCGGAGAGAGGTTGAGCATGCCCTGGGCATACTTCAGCTTAGAAACTCAGGGGAATCTGGGGGGGGCCAGTACCAGCCTCAAAGCCTCATCTTCCATCCTCAAAGCCTCAAAAAACCAACTCAAGCAGAAAGCGGAAACAAACCACGCAAGCAAAAACAAAGTGCAGCCTGGCGGAACTCCACAAAGGTTCCACGCTTGACCGGGATGTCCAACTCGGAAAAATACCTCGAAACAATGCCAGCACGAGCTTTTAGAGTAGGGACAGTCGGAAACCGTAAACCACTGATTCTTTACTCCCTGCACGGAATCGAACTAGCACCAACGCAGTGCGTCTTAGACATCAGAAACGCCACAATGCACCCAGCTAGCAGACCGCGAACGCAGCTCGCAACAACCATCAAACTGAGGAGGGTAGCTCTCCTGAAGAAATCTGGCCGCAACAGCAACTGTGCCAGAGTTTTCTACCGGTAGATGAAAGCCAAGGTATGGACTGTTTCGTGCAAACAGCATACCAGCAAAGCGGACCAGAATGAGAACTGGAGACTGCACGCACCCCTTCAAGGACTTGGAACGAGGGAACTGCTCGCAACTTGCCAGCCAAGCAGGCGGCCTCCCCTGTCTCACGGGGTTACTGGCCCAAGCGGCACAAACGAGCTGCTAGATCCCCGCCTTGATCAGGGCACCTAAGGACGGCCAATCGAGCGTCAAAGGAATTGGAAGGGAGCAGTGGGACGGCAAGCACGGCCATGTTGACCAACGGGAGTCCCGGAAAGATACATCCCACCCGTCGCGCAGGACGAACAAGGCATCTGCCTCGGCAGAGCACGACGATTTCTTGGCTGTCGCGACCTCGACTGCACACTGCTCCCATCTGTCGACTTCGCCATGGCTGCGAAGCTGCTTCGAAGAAAGGTTTGACTCGACAGAAGTCAGCTCCGGTGAGGTCGGAGCGACACAGACTGTGCATAGGCAAGTGCGTACACTGGGCACAATTTGTCCCTAAATTGCACATGCGCTTTTCCCTGCAAGCTTCGAGTATAAACTCGAGGGCCTGCCTGTCGGCTGAAATGGGGCAATCTCCTGTCGTAAGTAGGGCCCCTGTGCCACAAACTGAATTGTAAACCCGCCGAGGCCTCGGGCCGAAGGTTTTTAGGTTGTCAGAACAGGCACCCCCCTCCAAATCCTCCCCCCAAGCCCAAAGCCACTTTTCGGCCCCCTTTTTTTGCTTCAAATGGGTACCCCCCCTAGGAGAGGAGGGTCCGCAAGCGGATGTCTCGCCAGGACCAGAGGCAGTTGCAGCAGGGCGCCCCCCGTTTTCCCACCCCCCTTCCCCCCCCCACCCCCTCTAACCCCCCCCCCCCCCCCCTACCCCCCCGCCTACCCCCCCCCCTACCCCCCCCCAGCCCCCCCCCCCAACCCCCCCCCCTACCCCCCCCCCCTAACCCCCCCCCCCCCTGGCTTGAGGGTCGGGGCTCAGCTGGTGTGAGCGCCCAGGGTCTTGGGGACGGAGGTGTATAGGTTGTCAGAACAGGCACCCCTCCAAATCCTCCCCTAAACCGAATTCACCCCCCCCCCCCCCCCCCCCCCACCCCCCCCCTCCCCCCCACCCCACCCCCCACCCCACCTCCCCCCTCCCGCCGAAGAGTCGCCTTCAACCCTACGATCACTCCAAGCCGAACCCTAAACCCAAAAAAACCCTCAACCCCAAAGCGTGAACCTTGAGCCCTAAACTAACCCTCAACCCCAAACCCCAAACCATAAACCATAAACCATAAACCCGGAACCCTCAACCCTCAACCCTCAACCCAACCCTTATTGCTTGGGGTCCAGCGACTTGGGCGCTGCGGAATCACCATGCTCACGCGGATGCGCTGGGCCGGGCCGAGGCGGGTCGCGTAGCGTTAAAATTGCAAACCCATTTCCAAGCCTTTAACGTTACTAGCAGAACTTAATCTGCGAAAGGCCCTACCTTGCCAATTTGGCCAAGCCAACCGCCAAACAGAGGCCCATCAGTCACAACAGCGCACCCTCCCACCCTCAAGTGCGAGTCCGGGATGCTTCAGCACCCAGTTGACCAGCTTCTTCAGCTTCTCCTGGCCAAGGGCTTCCGGATGTCGTGTGGCCCGTTGCTCAGGTCGAGGATATGTATGCGGCCTCTTTCCAAACTTGACAAAGGGAGCTATGTGCCTGAAGGCTTGTGTTTATAAAGAATGATTTTGTGTGGCCAAGTTCGCGATCCAAGGAAACCCAGCAAGTTCCTGTCCCACCTCCCCAAGGTGCTGGACTATCGAGGTTTCGCCGATCTTTGCTCCGTCCTTGCCGTGGCTCACCGAGTTTGAGGTTCACCGCTGTAGGGAGGGATGACGAGGATTTATGGGCTCAGGGTTTGCTTGAACCTGATTCTCACCAGGCTGAGCATGTCTGCAGAGGTTTGGGATGTCTGCCCCATTCGGAACTTAGCTAGCAAAACCTTCCTCCAAGTGACCAGGTTCGCAGTTCAAAGACATGGAGACAAGTCGGCTTGGATTACCAGAGAAGCACTGTCGGGCTCGTAACTCCACTGACAGTCTCGGGCTGGGCCTTGTAGGCCAGCAGGCCATTCTCGGAGAAGCAGAAGTCAAACTGGTTTGGACCTTCACCGGCTTCTCGCATGTTGGGTTACTTGAAAACAAACATCTCAGTGTTGCTACAGCTTCCACACGTGGACGAGACCTCCCTCCTTGACTGTACAAGTTGCAGGAAGATTTGCGGGCTAGCAATCATCACAACATCTGCAGCTACCGCTTTTTGAGCAGCAGTGCAGCCACTGCCACCATTTACTGTCATCTGGCTCGGTCTGAGTCCGCGGCTATCACCAAGCTGCTCTTTCTGCTTGGCGAGGTCAGAGCCCCCGACGACCCCTATGCAGATCTTCTCCCGGAGAGACTGCAAAAGCGAGACACAAAGCTTTCAGGCGCTGCACGGCAACCTTTGGCTCATGCCCCCTACAGTAGCAGCCCTTATAGGGACCCTTCTACTACTTTTTGTGGTAACGGCTGCTGTGAGAGGGAATGACCCGACTTGTCAGCCATGAGGAAAAGGCAGCATCCATGCCCGACCGATATCCCCCTACGTCCTAACCGTGCATTCGGCGGCCATGAACATCCAGGCCATGTACATTACTGGCACAACAGTTGGAATCGCCGAAATTGCTACATTGCAGAGAAGGACGGCATGTCGAACTGTATGTCGCGACCAGAACGACATGTCTACCATGACCACAGTGAAAATCAAATGACCACAGACCCATTTCCCAAGATCGACTCAGAAAACGCATTGTAGATTGTCATGGTTGTTAGTATCTAGGTCCACTAGTTTTGTTGCAGGAAGTCGGTGCTAAGTTTCTCTTAATTACGTTTAATGGCATCCTCTTCACAATACCGTGATATATCACACTCGAAGCAAAGGGGCCGAATGGACAGGTCCAAAACGAGGACAAATTCACACACACACACACACAAACAAAAAACAAGGAATACAAACACATAGAAGTTAAATAGAAGTAGTGAACGTACAACAACAAGCATATTTAGGCAATTCTCTAAATTATGGGCTGTTTTGAGGCCCTAGCTATGAGGGTCATGAATTGGAGCATCCAACCCCACCACCAAGATGGCCAGAAATACAAAAAAAAGAAAACAAACCTGAACCTTTCAGGGTAAAGGATGCTGCCCAACGCAAAGCTGGCGTCCAAAGCTCTAGCACAACATCGCCACAGCTGCTCACGATGGCACCGCTCCGACACTTGGGCCTGGAGGTAGCTAACGGTCTCAGGCGACACCACCTGTTGCTGTGCAGATACTCTCAAACGAGGGTGCCTCTAGGCTCCGGAAGGGCGATTGGTGCTGAGGCATGCTCAAATCACTCTGATAGCTGTCCATAAGCCACGCACCCAACCGGTTTTGCAGCCTTCCGGGGCTCCGTGAGGGTGCCATCGACGTCGAACAGCGCTAGGATCCCTGAGTGGGAATGGTGCGAGCATCCGACGCCAAGTCGTGCTCGACCCTAGATTCCCTAGATTCTCCTCTCGTGGCAGCGAGGATCCCCCGACCAAGCCCTACATGCATGAATTGTTCAATGCAGCACGGAACATTGACTGCGCCAAGCAGGAAAAAAACTGCAAACCCCAAAGCCCTCTCACCGTCCATCCCTCAACTGCACCTGACTGCGACCACGCTCAAGGCTCAGAAGGCTCAGAAGGCTCAAAAGGCTCAAAAGGCTCAAAAGGCTCAGAAGGCTCAGAAGGCTCAAGCCACAAAGCAGTAAAAAGAACTCTGGAAGCAGGGTATTGGGGGTTGGCTCAGGCGGGGGATGTGTAGCGCTTTACCATTTATTGTGCTCAGGGCTGTTGTTTGGATCCCGAAACTCAGGTATCAACGGGTGAAGTCTCAGTCAGAAAAACGTGGGCAATAAACCGGAAGGCTCCATTCAGAAAACGGAAGGACTGAGTCAGAACACGCACCCGGCACACAGGTCCGAGTCGGAAAACGCGCAGGCGGAGTTAAAAAAACAAAAACAAAAGGCTCAAACTACCGGAAGCACACGCCAAAAAAACAAGTCTGTCGCACGCGTCCAACCCCATGGTGAAAACGACCAGGTGCCACTCCGAAAAACGAAGGCGTCAATCGAAAAACATGCAACCAGAAAACGAAAAGGCTCAGTGCGAAAACGAAACAAGCTTCCAACGTGTGCGGACGCAACCGCAACTGGAGGAGAAAGAAAATTGTGTCATTTGGTCAATCCCGTGCCCTAAACCTTAAACTCTAAGCCCTAAACCTTAGCCCTCAACCCTAAACCCCATCAGCCCTACAAGGGCTTAAGTGCGCAGCAACAGGGCAAGTTTGTTTTCTGAGTCTTTCCGATGTCAGAGTGGAGCCTTGGAGAGCACGGAAAGAGCGTGCGGCTCTTCTAAAAACGGTGTCTACAGGGGTTTTACAGATGAGGTTTTACTCTATTTGGGAAGGACCCTGTTTGTTTTCTGAGTGGGGCGCTGCCGTTCGCTGACTGAGCCCCCTGCGATTTCTGACTGGACCGCACCCTTTTCTGACTCAGCCGTACCGTTTTTTACTGAAAGAGTTTCAGGTAATGCCGCCGGCGTTTTCTGACTGACGCTGCTCCCGGTACCAACTCAATTTGTCATCCTCTGCCCCATTGAACCTGAACTCCTCAACCTGCCCAGCGGCGCTTGTTCTTGCCCGGTGCGCCAGCCTTGTGGGGCTGCGACAGTTTTTGCTGGGCTTGGATGCAAAGCGAACCCACACGAAAAGAGCCCCTCCGCAGCCTCGTACAGTCGTACAGCGACAATCAAACCCCGGCGAATCGAGTCCGACATCGAACCTGGACTTTTTGGACTTTTTGGCCCCCAATGCAACGACTTTGACTTGCATGGCTCAGGCCTCATTTAGGCTGAAAAGTCTCTGCTTCGAGCATCCTGGTTGAGCTCGCGATAGCAAGCAGGATTCACGCTTAGGCTCCGTTAACCGTTAACCTGAACCGGTTCGAAGTTCAACCGGCTCTGAAGGAACTTCCGAGTATCCCAGGCAAGGCCCCTAAACATCCAAGCAGCCGCATAGCCAGCTGCCATTGGAGCGGTTACCAGCTGGCGCCGACGCCAGCATAACACAGCTTGATCCGAAAAACCGCAACGGCAGGAGCATTCCAACATCCAACCTGCTTGAACTCTGGCCGCTCTGACTGCTCCGAGTGTTCACTATGTCCGAATGCCACCCCCCGCGCTGTGACTGGCTCTGGGCTAGGCTGGCTAGGAAATGGGCGGCCTTGTCTGGCGCCCAACCCGCGGTCTTTTTTCTGACATGCTGTTGATGTCTGAGAGCGTTGTGCCTCCGACTGCTTCAGCTTCTTTTGAAGGTGGCTGACGGAAACCAACATGTAGCTATCAAAGACCCTCCAAACGCGGTAGGCAAAGGTCCAAATGGCCGCAGCGCAGCAGGACTTCCGCGCAGGAGCCCTCGTTCTCAATCTCCAGACGGCCCAGGCCTACAAAAAGCCTCTTTGTTTGCTCATGCAGCCCGGACGATCCGTGCCCTTGTGCCAGAAAGCTCAGGTACCCCACGCACCCTAGGAGCAAGTGCACCGGGACATGTGCCACTTACCAGTTGATGGGAAAACTACTGCACAGCAACTGGTGTACAAGCAGTCAGAGCACCCGAATTATGCTTCAATATGCTTCACCGTTGCACAACCCGGACAGACTCAGGCACCGCACTGCGCTTCAGCCTTCAAGCTCGAAGGGAGTCCAACATGCATGACAGTCACGTAAACCTCCGGCGAGCACGTACAAACTGTACGTCTCTGAGTGTTGAAAGCTATAGCGTGGCATGCAAAAAGGCACGGCGCAACGCCACAAAACAAGCATCATCAGGTTGGTCGTGGTAAGTTTCCTTCTTTCCTTGTTGCCCCCTGATGCCATGAACAGAAGGGCTGCTCTTTTTGCTGGGCTGCATTAATCGGGACCTATCGGATGTTGGTGGCTTCGAACCCTCTCTGTCCATCCAACCCGAAACATCCGTACTGCAAACCCTGCAATACGACAACTGCGAACGACCTCCGAGGACTTGCCGGTGCTCCGGGCTGTCCAGCACCTAAGCCGAGCTGCACAACAATGATCTCTTGAAGAGACAGAGCTCGCAGAGTTCTCAGACTGGAAATACTTGGGGGCTACCAATGGTCCTTCAACAAGAAAATCCCGCATGCCGCCATTGTGGAAAATGCCTCAAGACCCTCGGAACTCTGTGGAGACCCTGAAGATCACAGACACAAAAGAGTTCTAGGACATCTGATGCCTCTTCCAAGCCCTGTGCCGCCCGCAGCTCATCATCAAAGTGCCAGCGACGCTGGTCGAGGTCTGTTTCCTGCCAAGGCGTTGGATCCTGTACTGACTGAAGAAGCCTCAGAGGATTTTGCTTCTCAAAGCGCACAGGATTGGATCCAACATGCAAGTTGACGTCGTCAAACCACCAGGCTCCTCACCGAAAACCCTTACGTTCAGATCTTTTGAAGGATGAGGGGTGGGGCAAGGTCCTCGGCCTGGATCTTGGCACCTGCAGCGAAGTTGTGACAGTGCAGCGGGGTGCGATGCCAGCACGTGGTTTTAGTGGTTTACAAAGGTTCTTACCGGCTCTTGCTGGTGATTGGGAGTTGGATTGTTGGGTCACGGGGAAGCTGAAGCAAAAACAACCGTCTTTGGTGCCCGAACTGGCATCCACCCAAACCGAAGCCCTGTCAGGCCCGATCCATCAAAAACATGAACCCCCACACTCCAGCTGCAGCCGGGGCCTACGATGGACAACCCATCCATGGTGGCATAGACCTCGCCGGCCTCCGAGCGTCGATTTTCCACGAACCAGAAAATCTTGGAGCTGAGACAAAACCATCGTCCTCACTCCAGGTTCAGGGCTTAGGAAGGATTTTCAGGATTAGCTTGTTTCTTTGGGTTCGGGGAACCTGTACACAGTTATACCTATGATACCTATGATACCTATGATACCCATTATATTCCTATTATACCTACCGATTACACCTACTCTTGATAAATGACATTTTGCCTCGGCCCCCGCCGTGGATATTAGCACTCACATAGGGACGCCCCTGTATCCCGCTAATCCCAACAGTACAACAGGTATGGTCAGTTGCATCTGGGGCCCACAAACGGCTGGGGCCGGCCTAAACCCATTTTTCCGATATTGGGGCTCAAGGTTAAGGACCGAGCTCGGCTTCAGCGTTGGAGGTTCCCTGCGCCGCATTGACACGCTGAGAAAGACTCAAACCCTGAACCCCGAACTAAAGACTCTTAAAACTTAAGCTCTGGATGCGACAGTAGACTCTGAAATTTTCCCGAGCAAAACCAACCTTCCAGGGCGGAAATCCCCAAGTGGGCCTCGTCCAAAAGCCGAGCCTCCACAAAGACTTTTCGTTTCTCCTGAACCCGCGAGCCATCAAGAGAGACATCCACATCACTCGAGGGCTCGGCTTGGGCAGAAAGTCTTCTTCTGGGGTTCATATTGGTTAAAAGCTGAAGTTTGGGATGCTGATCTAAGCTGTCGAGAAACAGGCGTTTCGCTTGCGTCTTGACATCTTGCTGGTTACAGTTTTGGTCACAGGTGTATCGGTTCATCACGCCTTGGAGCTTCATTCTTGGAACCGGGGAGTGGAAATGAGTGGGAATGACTGGATCAGAGGACTCATCACTGAAACGCATCAAGACCCAGCCTGCTTCGACACTCGTCCTTCTAACAGAAGCGTCTGGCCCACTCGCACCTCGGCTTGGGGACAAATTGGGCAAATTGGGCAAATGGGGCAAATAGAAGGCCTCACCCCTTGCATCCCACGTCCCGGTGCACACATCCAACAACTACCCTGCAGCCAAGTCTCAGGTTTAGTGAGCTTGCAGTTCACCTGACGCAGTACACATCTGCAGCTTCCACAGCAAAACCAGCCACAAACAAACCCCCCACCCACCCCTAAACCCTAAACCCTGTACCCTAAACCCCGAAGCCCAGGTATCGGCTCAGGTCCATTGTGGTAGTTTCCCTTTGTGGTCCCACTTTGTTCCTGACCGACATTAAGTGCGTGGCATTCGTGCCCGCGACTCACCCCTTCGATCGTCTGCAAGTGCAGGCCGTTGGTTGGGAGGACACTTTCTTTTGCTCCCGCCATTGGGATCTTGTTGTTCCTGCTGTTTACTCAGCCAACCCTGGTCTTTTGGCAACTGGTTACCACTGTACCTTCAGGAGGCGGTATTCCTAAGAGCCGCTCTCTGGAGTCTGGCTTTCTTTTTCCTGGGCACACTGGATACCACTGTACCTTTTGGAGTTTGTCTTCCTAAGAGCCACTCTTTTGAGTCTGGCTTTTACGCACACGTTGGTCAGTGCATGCGACTTCTTTGGGCGTGGTCTTTTTATCCCCTGGTTCTGGGACTTGGTAGTCATCGCCAGATCACTGAAGGAGACATCTGGCCACAGACGGGACAGATGCAGTCGAACAAGAGCAAGAATGCTCTTGAGACTCTACGTGGCTGGGAACCCTTTCTGTACCTCGCCACAGCAAGTAAGGACTGCTATAGCTGCACTCGAAGTAAACAGCCCCCTGCCGCAGCAATCGAAAACGACAGCCAGCGTTGCAAAGAGCCAACCGTGGAGGTGTTCTCAATGCAAGCAATCAGTGAAAATGCAGTCGGAGTACTGCGGGAGATGTAACTGCAGCAGCTGGAGAATCAGGACAGGCTACTGCATCGCACTCGTACTACACCTGGGACCAGCCACGAGCCCCTTGGCAGAGTGGAAACAATCGTTGGCCCTCACCAAGGAGACAGCCCCGCTCCAGGGACAGACGCAGGACGCTGGACAGAAAGGCAAAGGCGATGGCGGGAAGAGTTTGGCCAAAACTGGTCTTGTATGGCCCTCAATGATGGGGCCACAGTCGAACATGTCCGCTTTGCCACCCCCGCGAGTTTCCAACATGGCCCCTGCACCCAAAGCCTCATTGCCAACGCCGTAACGCCGCTATCGACGCCCTCGCCGGAGAAGCAGCGCAAAGCAGCAGTTGGCTCGAGAGGGCCGGGAGCAGTACCTCAAAGCCTGGCTCACGTACGTGGAGCAGATCACGGACATGTTGGGCAAGCAGATTACCGAACAAGAAGGATAAGAAGGGATACTGGACAACTACGCAGAGTCGGAATTGCAATGGAGCCGGATCCTGTAGTCAGCCACCACCGATCTGAACAGACTGGTGGCAGATGCCCCGCTTGGATCCATGGCTGCAGAGGAGGCTGCAGACAGTGGTGGACAGTAATCAACAGCAGACGGCGGCCGAGAAGGCGCAGCACCAAGCGAGTGCTGCCCAACTACAGTCTGCGTTGTCAATCTTGAAGGCCAAATCGGCCGAAAGATTGGAAAGTGCCAAAAGGGAGTGCTCTCGTACACCCAGGAGACGTCATGGAGCCCAGACTCAGACCTTCGACCTTAGGTGGCGAAGACGAGGAGCTGAGGAGTCCGAGAATGCCGGCGCTACGACTGCATGAGCCAGCAGCCGGTCGCGAAGGGGCCGGTGCGTTGATGCAAAGCCCCCACAGCTGCAAGTGTGGAAGTGCCACGATTCGTGCATCCCTGGCAAGCTGCTTTTTCTTGGTTGTCGACTAGCCTTTGATGTCGCAATTGATTCAGCTGGATTGAGCCTGCCTGCCTTGCGGCCTACTCTTCACTGACCCGACCCGCCTTGCAATTGCGGAGAGGTGCTCTCCATGGATCTTACGACAGGAGCAGACCCCAGGGCACGCATTGGACGTTTTGCCCCAGTTGCTTCATCGATGTCTCCGTGCCCCGCCCTGTTGGCGAGCACCAGGGTCTTTATTTATTTCTTGGGGATGGCTCCCAGTCAAGCAGCGTTGACTCCACATTATCTAGACCTGCTGCGCATGCTCCTCAGAAGTAGGCCCTGTTGTTATCTGCCTTGGGTTTTGAGCACACCGGAGCCGCACCAAGCGGTAGACCTGATCGACCACATGAGGACCAAAGATTTTGCTCCGCATTGGTCTCTCTTTGATGCAGGATGCCATCCGCTGTTCGC